CAACCAAAAAACCGAAAAGCCCGCCAAAAAAAAAAAAAAAAAAAAAAATTCTGAACAGATCAGAAGAACATAAGGACACCAACTCCAGAAAAGGAAAGTACAAAGGAAGAGATCAGTCTATCCATTTCTATAGTAGACAGTGGATAATATTCTGCAGCAATGAAGCATCAAAACTTAGAAATAATTCCTTAAATACCTTAGACAGCAATTAACCAGACTAAGATTTAAGGCCAGTCCTAGTGTTTCAACATACACAGCCCATCTTCTTTGGATCAAGGCTTATATACTTAGGCTTTGATTTTTTTTTCCCTCCCAAGTTTATAGGTTTCATGCTTTACTGATGGAACAAAATACCACCAACAATAGTAGAAGAACAGAAGATAGAAGTCTTCAATAAAATAGGGTAACTTAAGATTGTAAACAATGCAGTGAATCTAGTGTTATTCTTTCAGCTTTTTTAAGACCTACTTTACTGCACTGCAATTTATCTTGATCTTCTGAATATATTACTTTAGAAAGTTTTCTCAAGAAGAAATTCCTACACACTCATTTCTGAGAAGACAGCATCATCAGTTAAGCAATCCCACCTTTACTTTCAAATTGTGTACAAACTTGTACAAAAAATGAGAATCCAAACAGACTGCCTTAAAAACTCACTACTGTGCTTTAACATTAGTCTTTCCACATTAAAAAAGAAAAACTGTTAGCACAGATTCACAGTCATTTTAGGCATATCCCATAATTGCTGAAAGAACTGGTCACACACCCTCAGTTCAGCCACGTTTTCTTACTGTTTCCTTTGCTCTGACACTACAAAGACAATACAGTGAGTCAGATGATTTAAGTGATCTGGCCAGAAAATATCTTTTTAAATTACTACTTTCATACAAATAGATCAACAAGCAGTTTGACTCACTAAGCAGCTATACAATCACTGCACAGCCAACAAAGGCACAGGTAGGAAGGTGCGGGCATGGGTGGAAGACAATAGTGAGCAGGATTACCTCTTCTTCCAGTGAGCAGTATAAATTGATTTGGGGCTGTGTAATCATGAAACCACACCTTCACTCTCATTTCCTCTGAATTTAAACATATAAGCAGCCAGAAAATTGATATGCTACAGTAAGGTGTGAGGGAAAATAGGTAATACACTTACCAGATGTTCTTTATAAAATTTTCAATAACAGGATGCTGTATCTACATCTTTTCATTCTTACATTATGCACAGTCAGAGAAACAAGATGAATCCAATTAGTTTGTTTTACCTGTTATGAACCTCCTAAGGAGGTTAGAATCATGTTTCTGTAGCTAACTCTATAACGAAAAGGTTCGGAACAAGAAAGAAAAAAACATCAGTCTCCTCCTACTCAGACATACTGTAACAACTTGCACATCTTTGCCTGCTTAAGAGTAAGTGATACAAAACAGGTGTGACAAATCATGAAAAGCAGCTTAGCAGCTTAGATCTGTAAAAGAATCTAAAATATCAGATTAATGCCCTGCTCAAGAGGAATATTATAAGTGCATGCAAAAGCCTTAAGCAATTTCTTCATGAAAAAAAATCCACGCTGATTTCTGACCTAAATTCTTAATGTGAAATCTTATGCAGAGCAAAGAATGGGGTCAGTTTCCACACCCTGTTCCTCACCTCCTCCTCTGGCATCAGCTTTCGTCGGCCATCCTTCACTGGGAAGCCACTTCCAAAGTCCTTGGATGAGATATCAGCCCCATATTCCACAATGACATCTTCTTCTATGCTGCTCACCAAGCGCCAGAATTCTTTTTCTACGAGCTCAGTGGGAACCATCTGAAAGCAGAAAAGATGTTAGGCTATGTGCAGATAAGACCCAACATAAAAGTTATCATTCTAACAGTAAATCATTACTAATCCTCCATGAATTTTCAAACACCATGGGCACTCCCTCTCTCCCCTCCATCTCTTCAAAGTCATACAGTTTGGTCTGTATTCCTTAATAGTGTCTGCAATGTAACAGAAATAGGGTGCCACATCATAAGGCACAGAATGAATAAAAAAAAGAAAAAAAAAAAAAGATGGGGTTACCAGAAGCACAGCTAAAAAGAAGGGGAGGAGGAGACAGCCAGCAGAGGCCAAGTAGCAAACAGAATTAACAGCTTTCAGAAGATAACGACCGGAACTTCTGAGTAACAGTAAGGAAATTCAGATGAAGAATTGTGTTCAAGAGTGTAGTCTTCATATAGCTCGTTACAACTCCTACTTATATGCATTTACTTATGTAGCTTATTTGTAAAATAAGCTTTGTTTCTTGCATTGCTCTGTGTCCCAAAGCTGTATCATAAATTGGAGTCCTTAAAAGGTAGAAGCTTTAGCAAGAATACCTGTAAATTACTAAAGAACCCTGACAGAAGGAGCTTGGTGCTGCATGCAATCAACAGGACAGTGGAATCATGGGAACGTGCCAAAGCAGAAATGCCAGTTTTAAAAATGCTATTGAGATGCTGAACAAAAAAACCTCTGATTATCAGACAGACTCGGTCTGTTGACTTGTCTACAAGAAAAGACTGCAACAGGGAAGGAAACAATGATTTATGCTCTGAACAAACTAAACCAAGATAAAAGCCATAGGAAGGGCAGAAGACAGACCCTTTTGCCAAAGAACAAGATACTAGGTTCAATTAATCAAAAAGGGCAAGAACTAAACTAGAGTATGGCCTACAAGGTATACCCTAACAAACAATAAAGCTATCTATTCATCACAGGAAAATGGTGAAATGAAGTTGAAATGAGACCAGATGCCAGAAAGCTAAATCATTTGTTTACATGTTTGAAGCTTATGGTGCCTCTTTAAACAAAGCTAAGATGCCTCAGCAAAAATTCAGGATCAGCTGAAAACTCTTCTCTTTTTCCCCTGCAAGGAATCACAACAAAAGCTGAAACTCACATGGACCGGCATGTTGAAATAATCAGACTTGAAGTTATCAGCCATTTCACCAAAGCTCTGGAGAGTATATTCCCTGACTGCTTGTTCAAATCCAAAGGCCTCACGGGGTTTGTTGCATTCCTAGGAGACAGAACATAAAAATATTGTTCCCTACAGCAGATTATGACACAGTTACATTTTTAGCAAAAAATCCTAGTGTCCACCCGAGCCCTTACCAAACACAGTAAGCTATCAGTTTTGAGTGCTTTTCTCAGCTGAGGAAGCCTTACCACAATGGAAACAGAACAGAATTGTACAGGAGCTAATCTAACACAGTAAACCCCAATGCTACACACTTCTGCTTTCCTGTCCAAAACTAAGTTTTATCATCTAGTGCTGCCAGCCACAGAGTAAGACAGTGCACAAGAAACTTAGAAAGCCATAAGTCATTTCTTAGACACACTGGATTCAAGCACCTGCAGAATAAATGTATAGGAAACAAACCCTGCAAACGCTTCAGTCTTACCAAGTCAGCAAATCATCAACTGATTTGGCACTGTGAAATTATATAGAAGGAAATAGAAAGGCGATTGAAATAACACAACACGGCTAACAACAGACATGGTCCATCTGACAGAAAACCTTCAAGTCTTCCACTGTTCTATCCCCATTCATCCCAAGAGTGCAAAAAACACTAGTTCACATTTCAGCTGCTCTCCCCACCCGTTTCTACAGTGTCCTTTTCAGCCCCTTTGTATCTGACACAGTGTTTGTATATACAAGACATATTTGAACACAAACATGACATAGAACTATCTGATAGTCAGCTGTTCAGTCATAAAGAAATAGGACTGGAAAGGAATTCAGGAGACCAGTAGCTTCTTTTTCTTCAAGAGGAACTATCCTTAGACTATGCCCAACATTTAGCAAAGTAGTTCTTCAATGGAGCCTGCACCAGAGAATCTACATCATCTGCAAATACTGTCAAACACTGTTGACCTGAAAACAGTAGGAGCCCTTACTCTGTTCTTCCTAGCTTCTCTTCCAGCACCCTGCTGTTAACATTGCATTAAGCATCTGTGCACAATTAACATTTAAAGTGAAAACTGAGGCAAAAAGCACTACTGAGCATTTCAGACAACTTTCAACTGTTGTTTTTTTTTTTTACTCTCCATTACATAATACAGCTATATTTTTTCCCTTTTTCCTCTTACTTTCAATGTATTTCCAGAATTTTTCAAGTACTTTCTGCATCATTTGCTACTAACAGCTTGACACCTTAACTTTCCCGACTTTGCCCCTACATACGTATTTTTTTCCTTGGGAACAATGTATCCCTGTTTTTACGAGTAGTAGCAGCACTGAAATTTCTTGTGAGTTTGCACATTCTTAAACCACTGCAGTCACTGTATTTACTAATATATTCTATAAATTGCCTCCATGTTGGATTGCTGTAGTTTATTAATACTCCTTTATTGCTCTCGCTTAAGGGAACAATAAACAAGAAGCTTAATCCACTCTGTGAGCAGCAGCCCAAAGGGTTAGCTGCATCTTCTGCCTTGCTTGTAACTGTAAATTCCCACCCCTCTCACAACAGCATTTGCCTGAGTTCATCTGACAATCTGATCTCTCTTGGTGAAGGGTTAGAGAGCAGCGAGCTGACCCACCTCATTACGTGGCTGCACAACTATTCACACACCACCATAAAGAAAACACCAGGAGCCCGCAGTGGGAAGGGTGTGGGGGATGCGGGCGGGAAATGGGCAGATACACGTGTGTGTGCGATTGCCCCTTTTGGAAAAAAACACAGTCTAAAAAGTTAAAGCCAGTCACAAAATTACAGATTTAGAAACAGTCAGCTTTTTTCCTCTGAATCCTACATCTACCAATTTCCTGAACTTGCAAAATTTGTTTTCCTAAGACAAATACCAAGCCAATCAAATGATGTTCGCTGCCTTCAGCTGCTGATCAGTTACCTCTTGGAAGTTAGTAGGTCTTCTTTTTTGGACCATGAAATTCAACTAGCTTCCACTCTCGGAGCCTCAACAGTTCCTTTTTTAGTCTAAACCAAATCTAAAACAGCTACAAATTTTTAAATTAGTTCTTTCACTTTCTGCCACAAGCCATTCTGAACAACACCATAATGACTTCCCAACAATCAAAGCTCACTGTTATGCCAAAATCGCATACTTTGATTATTTCACAGTTTACAAAATGTCTCATGCTGAAACACCTATCACAACCCTACTTCTCACCCTAATTTCCCCCTACCAGCTTATCAAACTGAGTTTCAACTCTTAGCATACAAAGGCCAAAGCTCGTAGCATACAAAGGTTATGCCCAAGCTCTAGAAGGAACATTTATCTCTCCTCATGGCTCATCAACCAAGAACAGCTGGAGATTCACAGCTCAACTTGACAATATTCCAAACAAAACTACAGCTTCTATGCAGATGGAATGGCATTGAGCTGAACTGCTCTTCTTCTGACCTTTCCAGGAATACAAATATACATACAGATCTTGAGTAGTTCTTGAACTGTACCTCGGCAACGCACTTTGGACACCTCCAGTCACCTTTGGGTACATCAGGTAAAGGAGGAATCAAGCAAAAAGTGTGATAGCTGTCATCACATCCATCACACAGTAGCAGTTTGTCCTCATTATTTCCTCTGCCACAGAATAAGCAAACATACAGATCGACCTGTGGAGAAAAAAAAAAGAAAAGAAAAAAAAGTTACGAAGAGTTTCCTCATCCAGAACCTGCCTTCCTTAAACTAAAGAACAAAGGATGTAATCCTAAAGTCCAATATATGAACATCAATGCTGTCTCCTCTGGTTTTTGAGAAGCGCCAATAATGAATGATTATGCTTCAATTTCCCAAAGCAGTCATACATGGGAGGCAGGGGGGCTTTGGGTTCTGCAAAATAACTACCCAGCTCAGTTAAAGAAATGTTTTCTATATAACTCAAAGCAGCACCTCATTTACGTTATTCTAAGGCAAAAAGAGTAGGTTACAGTTTTTAGAACTTCATGCTCTCCCTCTTTTTGGGCCTCTCTCATGGAAAACAGTACAAACTAAATCCCTGCGAAGAGCACATGGCTGAGGAATACTTCCAAAAACTGTTTTAGAAGCATACATGCCATCACTTGCAAAAGTACAGTTATTACCTTTGCAACGGAAAAGAAGAGGTAACAAAACGCATAAACCTACAGACTTCAGTCTAAAAATCCAAGGGGAAGGGAAGGAAACTGCATGTAAAGATACCAATTTCTTTCTCATTTTCTCCAAAATAAAGAACAAAAACTCCAAATGATGAGAGAGAAGTATTAATCCCAGTACAATAGCAAACAATTTTTGCAGGTGTCTGTCCAAGATAAGCTCTCAACAAGAACAACGCTGACTGGGAGATATTCTCAGGGACCAAAGAGAAAACTCTGTCAACAGGTTTCAATTTCTTTTTGCTGTTGCTTCCTGTATTGTCCAAAGCACTTTTAATTTAATATAAACATTGAATATAGTACTGAAGATCTGTAACATAATCTAAATGAAGAAACTGCATATTACTTTATCACAGGTAAAAAATTATCTGATATATAATTTTTTGTAACAACATGAACTTCATGAATAACACTTGCTCCAAATTCTGCTACTACTCCCATCAGTCACTGGGCAACTCCAGCTACGCGTATTTCCTTCATGCAGCTCAAAATAACACCAGAAGCAGTGGGGTTGGTTTTTGGGGGTCTGTTATTTTCACCAAGATGTCACAAAAACATGTACTTCTCAGCCAATTAGGTTCACACAGCTGTGTTTAATACTTTATGTCAACACCATCTTAGTTACACCAGCCTCATTAAGTAGTTAGGTGGAGCTTCCTATCTATGCAATACTACACTACTAAAGAAGATCGCTCAGGTTTCTTAAGAAACAATTTTAAAAAATAATGCAGTGCTATTAAGGGACATACCATTTTCCCCTTTTAAAAAAAAAAAAACCAAACATGCATTCAACCTCATGGAATATCATGTCTGTCTAAAACAAACTAGTTGCTTTTGTTGCAAGTATATAAAACAGAGGGAGGGTACCTTAGCAGACAGGGAAGACAGGTTCTGTTCCCAAAACTAAAAATTAATTAAAATGGCAATCGTAAGAGGAGGCTACTCTATGATACTCACTAGTTACCTATCATTGATAATACCTTCTTCTCTCCGAATGTGTATCAACATATGCAGTCTTTTTTACATCAGCCTAAGTGATGATTTGTCAAATATAAAGACTGCATTAAAATACATATTCACAACAAGCAGATCTGGGATTACACAATAACCACAAATAAACCTCCTAGCCATATAACAAAACACAGGAAGACTATGATGATATATAACTATATGGGGAGGGGGGTAAAAAGAAAAGGTGTATTTTATTTCACCGTTAGCATTTCACACAGATAAAATAAACTTCACAGTTGAGCAATTCACAAAAAGACAAATGAGTGAAGGAGAAATATGAACAAAACTGCACCCCAGCATTTTTGAGACAAAAATTATATAAGGCTAATGTATCACCTGTGCACTTAAAGATCACTTTTCTTGAAGATCTCATCCAAGTATAAAAAAAAGTGTGGAACCAAATGGTACTAAATCACAAAATTTCACAAGATTACAGTTACAGCAATACAGTTTCAAAACAGCAGTTCTGTTGCTACAGTATTTTCATTTTCTCTCATAAATAGCAGTAAATGGAAAGAGTAAACAAATACAGTTTTCTAAAAAGAAACAGAGTCTAAACAAAATATTTTAAAATTAAAGCATACATAAAATGGTCACAACACTTACACAGCCTAGGAACACCACATACTCTGAAGTAGTAGCACAATTAAAAAAAATTCAAGTCACACAAATTCTAACTTAGCTGCGGTGGCACAATTATCTGGTTTTTAAATATCTAACTTCTCTATTTCTTCCCCAGGAGGCATTTCCACATACAAAAATATGGTTACTAAAGACTTTTGGTTGCCTTGGCCTCCTACAGTTGAAATTTAAAATAAGCTCTTGTAAGTGTTCTCAGGCTATGAAAAAAAGAACAACTGAATTATTAGTGAAGAGCCTAACTCTTAAGACATTACAAGCATGCATTCTTCATTCATGGTTGCGTACACATGCTAAATTATGACACTTTAAAAGTAAAAAGTCATGTGCTATGAGAGACATTAAGAACAACTATACACTGCTTTTCCATGGCCAAACATCAGAGCGCTAAACATTTCTTTTTTCCCCTTAGGGGTTTCTCTTGCATGGACTTGTATAATGACTAGTTTAAACTCAAAACAGAAAAGACATGAAAGCTAGAATGGCAAAAAAACCCAAACTCCTGAAGTACTGGAGCACCTCAAAATATCTTTTAAGGAAGAGTAGTATTACAAAAGGGGAGCTCAACTAGCAAGGGAGCTACTGAAGGCACGCAAGAAGTGTGTGGCAAAGCAAGCCCTCAAACCCATTACCTTCACGTTGCAACATTCTTCCTGTCTGAAATATTAAAACCACAAACCCAGAGCACAGATGATTTTTCAAAATACTGTTCATCCTTCCCATAACAGTATCATGTGCTGTTCATTCATCTATTTGGGGGGTGGGAGGTGTTTAGAAAAAAAGTCTTAGTAAATAAAACAATTTATTATCAGAACTTACTATCAGAAATCACAGCAAATTAATCAAACTTACGAAGTTGACAGAAAGAGTTCCTTTGCGTTGCCTCATCTGCATTCCAAATGCTTCTGATCTGGTTCCCTTACGTCTTCGTGTCACCTCATCTTGAAGTAAAATAAAGTTAAGTGTTATTAATATTACATAAAGATAGGCTTAGCTTGCAAAAATAACACAGATATCCAGCCTGGTACCCTGCCTTTCATATCAGAAATTACCTGACAGTCCAAAGAAAGCAAAAATTCCTTATTATACCTGGCCAATCTAAAATAAACAGGGATTAGGAAAACATAATTTGCTTATCCATACAGGTGATCCAAATTGCCTCACGGAACAGCATGAATTACACTCATGACTTGTGCACTTAGTTGGTAGGATCACTTTCAGTATTGTCAAATCCTGTTTTCTCTTCCAGTCACTCAGTTCATGCAACAGCTGCTTAATTGCTACTGTTACTATATAATACATAAAGAGCTGAAATTATGCCAAGTTACATGAAGCACCCTGTAAATCTTTCTCATGAATGAAATCCTAGAATACTTAGCTTTCTTTTTCCAGTTATAATGATTTGCTTACTTTTTAATGTTGTCTCTAGAGACATTCAGAAAGATTTAACAGCCGCGTTACTTTACAAAGCAATGAGTCCAAGATTTAATTACCCTCTTTATCCTTTGCTCCCAATGCCAGTCCCATCATCTTGGGTCCAGCTCCAAAGATCTGAAGCTTCTTCAGTTCAGTATTTCTACTCATTTCTCCTGCCTCCGCCTAAAAATAAAAGCAAGACCACATCAGCACAAGCCATCAATATTTCCCCTCCAGGTCTCTTCATAATTTATATTCCACTCTCCCACAACATCTGCTCATCTAAAGAAAGGAAACAGAGGCATGAAAAGACATGATTTTCGGTTCCTAAAGCCAATGAACAAATGCAAATGGAATAAAGGACAGCATTTTTGTCCCAACTTTCCAAATTATTTCCCATTTAGTATTACAGATAAACTACAGAAAGGCACCTATTCAGCAAATAAGAGAACTAGGTTTGACATTTAGCAAAAAATAAGAACGCCACAGCAGTATTTTCCAAAGTCACCATGGTTCAGTCAAGAGCTTGGATGTTAACACATACACTGTTTCAACAGGATTTTTTTATCTGCTTCCTTGAGTAGACACATATACATGACACTAATGAGTTCCAACGTACTTCCTTAACCTTGGCTGCTCCTGGGTTTTTGTGATGAAATGAGTACAACTCTGAGATCCCAGCTACTCATGCTGCCCTTGCAACCTCAAAATCAGAGATGAAAAGACCCATTGGGTGACAACTCCATGCCCCTGCCAGTATTGTTTCCTGAAGTGTTCTGTTCAACTGGAGTTCTTCTGGCTTCCCATTACTGACCTACCTCATTTTCCCACATCACTGCCCACTAACCTAACAACAAAAAGAACCTCCACATTCTGCTTTTATCTGCAACGCAGTCACCTGGGTAGTTTTCTTCATGCTGCCTCCTTATACTTTGAAAACCTTTTCTAAGCTGATCTAGGCAGCCACTAAATTCTCATCATTTGCAATCTTCCTCCTGAAATTCACTCATCTTAAGAGACCTCAGCAAATCTAACTCCAACACATTATCTTCAAGGGACTTATTGATACTACTTCACCTGTTATTTTCCACAGTTATGGACTAATATATCAGCCATTAAATAAGCTGCCTTTGGGGGACACGTATTCAGGTTTTAATCATTAAACAAAAAAAAAGTTCAAATGCGCTTGCAATGAGGCTAAAAGAAAGAAGATAATTTCCATTTATTCAGTCTAAATCAGTTGTTTTTCTTGCTTCTGGCACACATTAGAACAGATATCGCTTCCTAGGCATTATTACTCTAAGGAATTTTTAGTGATATTTAGTGTCCCTGTTCCCACTGAACTGCATATGCAGTACGCTAATCAGCATCCTTCCGAACTGATTACTGCTGATATTCTAATTTTGCACATTTATGAATTCTATGTCGCTAATTAATTATTTTCACTTCAGATATATGTTACCAACTTCGTAATCCCACTCTGAAATTGCACGGTAACTGGCAAATTTTCCTCATACATTCCTCACTTTTTGGCTAACAAGCCATAAGGAAACACTGACTTTATTGCTGTATAGGAAAGCCTACCACCTGGAGACTTCATAGTCCCTCAGTTCCCATTTGAAATTCATTAACAGCTCATCCATTCTCTCAACTAATAGAACTTGACAGAATCAACCAAAATTACATTTCTAAGCACAGTACAATTTTCCACCATTTCAGCAACCTTTATGAATGATCTCCACAATTTCTCTCTCCTGCTATTGTGACCTAAGATAATTTTCTCAATGATACCTGAAAAATAACTTTACTATCATATTTACTAGAAGTAAATCATTAACATGCAGCAACCTCTCTTCAGTTTTATAGCTTTCTTTAAAAATGGAATGCCTAAATATATTTTCCTAACGCCATCACCGAGATTTACCTGGATTCCAGTAAACCTAAGCGGATGCAATCCATTCACATTCAGGTGGGAAAAGCCACACAGTTTTCAAAAAGAGCTGTTGCATATTGAAATGGAAATGTTTTTTAAAAATCACATTCCTATATAACCTTATGAACACTGCCAGGATATTGATAGCTTAAGATGTGAATACCATTCAGAAGCCTCGATATGTAGTCCTTCAGCAGCGTCCTTTAGGATTGTATAGGAACACCAAACTCAAAACTGTGAACACATGGAAGCGGAAATCTTGCATTTCTTGCCATTTTCTCATTGCTAACAACACAAAACTCCACCACACTTTTGCATTATATTTTTTCCATTGAAGCGAAACAAACTTGATTAAACGGCAATTCTATTCTCAGCTTCCCATTTTCCTGAAGGATGCAGTCATATTTTTGGTTTTTTTACCTTCTCAACTGAAAGTACAACCCAAAGGCTTTTCTTCTACATGGGAGAATCCTAACATGATCCAGTTAACACTGGATTCACACACTACCTTGTTCTGTTGTCCCACCCTCATCAACGCTGAAACATTTGCATCCCCACCCTCCACCCCCAGTGCGTGAGACCAGAATAGTTACAACCAAGAATCAAAAGATTTACATGTTTTGGGCATCTCCCAGAGTTCTTTTGTCTCACGCAATTACTCCCATGGAAGGAAATCTTTCGCATTAAAAAATGGAAGCTTATTTTATTAATTCTGTTATTCTGCAATCAACCAAATTTGCAAAAGAAACCTGAAAGCAGATATACTACACAGAATTAGCTTAAGTTTTTCAGGAAATTCCCTGGACTTTAAGTTAATACCCTTTGAAAAGACAGTACTTCATTATCTTTTTGTTCCAGTGCTGCATTTCTCTACCAGAAATCATCATGATGTAACCTCATTAGACAAATCCCTTGACAGTTAAAATACACCCTAACAGATCATCTATGAAGATATACTACTCTAAGAAAAAAGCATTCTCCTAAATTTAACCTTTACTTCAGGATATTCTCTTTTCCTAATCTGAATTCATTCTACTTTGCCTTTAGTAATTCAGTTGCCCTTCTCCAGTTTTGTGATAGCTTTCTTCAGAAAGAAGAGAATGAAGCATTAAGTTTATTTTTGAGCAGAATCTCTCATCACCAAATTATCCTCTTCCTATTCAAAGGCAATGTATTCAACTGACATTTGATTGTAGTATCCAGAGGTTCCCAAACCATCTTTCACAAAAGAGAATTCTCATTCCCTGATTTCTCTAATTTTTCAGATTGTCTAAAAACTTAAAAATTTGCTTTTTGAAAATCTGCCACCCCCTTCTACTGCTGAGGATCTTTGTTTATTTCTGATTACTATCTTTATGCTTTCTTATTCAGCACCCATTCTTAGGTAAGTTATCTGCAAGAAGATGCAGAGCATTTTTGGAAAGTACTTTTAGCACTTGGAAAAAAAAATCTACTGAGATGCAGAGGTCAGTGTATTTTCCCATGCTCACTACCCAGGCATTGGTCACACTACACACAAACCCTTCAGATGCTTCAGCTAGAGCAGAACGACATTTATTTAGCAGGTTTTTACATTACTTGCATATTACCTGTTCCCTGAAGACTATCTAGACAATCTCTGGTACAATTCCAAGTATGCACTCCAAACAATAAACAGATTCCTGTCTCCAGTAAGTAGGTACACTGAAACCTGGAACAATTTCTCAGCATTTCCCAGATATTTACACTTCTACCATTTGGTGCTACTGAGGACAAATCTCTGTTTCTAAATGCAGTTCCAGAGTTGACTTAAGAGAGTTACACATAGCTTCCAATATAGTCAAAAAATACTTCTCCTTGCCATGCAAGTAGGTTGAGTTTATCCTGTATTAAATAACTCATTTCAGCCATTTTAAGAACTGTAATGCCTAAAAGATAGCATGGCTACAGGGCTAATAAAAGGTATTTTTTATATATATATTTACTTTTCACAGATGATCCAAGTAAAATCACCTCTCTCATTTCCGAAATGCAGCCCCTTTAAATGAAATGACGTGAAGCAGCTATACTGTGCCAGAATAACTACAGAATATTTTTTTCCAACAAGGATAAATGAGAAGTACCGTTATTCTACTGAAATCAGCAGGAGAAAATCTCACAGGATCTTAATAACACAATGACACTTTTATAGAATGTATGAGAAGAAGGTCATACTGGCATTATCCCACAAGATTCGTTCATATCCAAAGCAGAAATCCACATAACAAATGACTGCTGCAGTTCCTGAAGCATTCTCAAGTTTTTCTGGAGAGCTCACTAACACCACATTATTTGAGAGATCTGGTAAGATCACAGCCCAGGTCTGCTTGTGTGATGCACTGTTATGGCTCCGATAAATAACATCACCAGCGTCAGCAAGTTCAGAAAACAGACTCAAGAAAAAGACAATTTAGTCTAAATCAATCATGACATTAGAGAAAGAGATGAAATTTTATAAAGGATACTCAAAGATCTCGGTGACAAGAAAGATGAATTTGCAAAAAGCAGTTTAAGAGCATTTGAAAAAAACTTTTTGGTGCTTAAAGTAAGTCTAGAATGGCATCAAGTAGTGAGTTTGCTGCATATAAAACCAGCTTTCGCAGGTGGTCTGCTGACTGGCCAGCAGGGAGCCACCAGACCTGCAGTGAAGAGCCTTAGGATGACGCCTGCAATAGAGATCTTTGTCAAAAGGTGAAGGCCTGCTTTAAATAGTGCAACAGAAGCAACGGAGCCATCAGGACAAGCCTCCAGGATTAGTTCTAACAGTATAGCATTTAAAATGGTGGCGAGTCAGTTTGAATTGAGATTTACTGGGGGGTACTGCCAGGATTTAATATCACCTAGTAGAACGCCAGATGTTCCTATAACACCACTAATCCAGAAGAAAATAACCTGCTTTTCAGCAGAAAAACTGTGGAAATACTATACAGTTGTAGCCATCACTGAGCATCCGCCCCTGTATCTGTTTCATTTCTTCACAAAACCAGTCTGTCCAGCTTGAGATAATTAGTCCCAAGTGCAATTTCCACAATTAATAAAGATTTATTGACACATATTTGCATTGTGTAACTAAATGGCATATTTTTGAAAGTTTTAAAAAACTTTTTGAACTTTGCACAAGCAGAAACTTCAACATAATTTCCCAAATGGCTTTTTATCTCTTTAATTTTCACAGGTATATTCACTACCAAAGTGCATAGGCCACTTGTTGATAAACAAAAAGCAGCTTTTGGAAGTTTTTAGATGAACAGAGCATCTACCATAAGCAAATCAGGTCTCAGAGAGACATCCTTCTCTGGGTTTTATTTACATAAAGACTGCTTCCTGGTGGTGCTTTACAGCAAGCTCCCACAGCCAGCCAAAGGCTGTTGCACTGCCAACACTGCTGCGCTGGCAGAAGGAGCGAGTGTTCTTTGTCCCTAAGAGCCAATTAACAGGGGTACCTGGGATTTGACGCGCCTGGTTCTCTTCAGCACGACGTTCATTCTTGAAGCCTGCTTTGGGGAAGCCTGGGCATCTGAGCTGAGGTCCTCAGCCTCTACTTTTTCCTTAAGATCCAAGTTTGGCTTTTGGATGCCCTAAAGGATCAGAGCACAGGACACCAAGTTGATTGATCAGGCAGTGCTGATCATTCCATGGTCTGTGAATCATACTGTTTGCTAAGAAACAGGATGAGTGAAATCACACAGCATTACACATGCCATTGGGAAAAGAGGCCAATTAATCCAAGCACCCTTCAAACAAGGAAACTGCATCTCAACTGCCAGCCTAACGAGAGAGAAAAAGACATCTTTCCAATTAATCATGCCATCTTTTAGCCGTTTTCCTTCCCAATAGGGTTGGCCTCAGTCCTCTAAAGAAATGGCTATCACAAAATAACTACAGAAGGTCACATTACAATTTCTGTTACTATTCTGTCACAGGTAAGTATGAGGCTCATTCTAGGTTTGCTTACATAGCTAAAGCTTCTAAAAGTGTAGACCCTATGTCCTAGTTTCGTATGCAATAACAAGTAGCATTCTACATGCAGTTTGGGTTCCCTCTTCATATCATCAAAGAGAAGTGTCTCACCATAAGGCTGACGCCAGACTGAAAGAGCTCATAGGGGTACAAGATCCGTTCATAATGAGACTTGAGTAAAGACCCTGTGCCTTTTCCTGGCAGGTAGCCAAGCCGACTTGCTACTTTAGACCATTTCTTCTCTTTAGTGACTACTTCAAAGCCTCCTTTGCTGGCAACAATCTGAAACACATAAATAAAAATTTTAAGGGTTTTGAGCTGCTCTCACCACCTTTCATAAACCAAGAATCAATTAAACCAACCAAATGTTAAAAGGCTCTATTAAAACGTGACAGAATCCTGAATTTAGTTTTTGTTTCCCAAAGGACTAGTACTTTAATAACTAAGCACTTACTTATCCTCATTACTTAATACATTTAACATGACAATTTTCCTAGTAAATGTAAATTGTGGACTGTACCAGACAGGAGGAGTCCAACAGTTAAGATTTATGATGTGATAGAAAGAATACAAACCCCACCATCAGAACAAACTGAAAAGTTAACTCTCACCAGACTTGTACTCTGATGCAAAACACAAGTCTGGCCAGAAGTGAAGCCCACTCAAACAGACCCCAGGCAGAAGGGAGCAATAGAGCTCACAACTTCAGAATTACAGAAACTCTCACAAAACCCTGAATGGAAGAGAGACTACTGTAAAAAGAGGAGAATCTGAATTTACCTTCCAATTAACTCAGTCCAGTTTTTACACCTGACTTCAACTGGATTGAGTTTAGTACTTCATATACAGAACTATCACTGCTTACACGTAACTAAGATGTACATAGAAGGAAAAATGACAGACCATTTGCCTCCAAGCAAATGATTAACAGCATGATTTGCTTCCTCAGAAACACCAGCCACATTTCCACTGCCTCCATTCCCTGTATATTTTCACTGCCAAGTAGCTTAAAACCCCAATGGACTGTAATTTCATTTATATTATTGTAAGACATATATAATGCTATATAATAGCATTTCTACAACAGTGTAGTTTTGCATTACATTTCCTTACACAAGGACCAGATTTCATGCTTAATGTTTCACAGACTGTTAGAAACCTCAATGCAAAAACATTTTGTTACTCGAATGAAATTTATGGTTTACTTTTGAGGCTGAGGTAAATTCAGAAGTCTAATTGGAACAGTAACAAATAAATCAGTTAATTCTGCTTCCTCCTATAATCAGAGATAGATGCACTTAGATAAAACAATAAAATTATTGATATTATTTTTCCTCATATTTACAGCAATGTACTAGAAAAGCCATCTAAATGAAACTATCCCTGGATTTCAACTTACCTTCAAAATGTCCATGAAAAATTTATTCCTAAAATTATCTATATATGATCAATGGCTAGAGAAGCCACTAAGTAAAGCTTAGACCTGCATACCTGCAGTCAACTAAAATTTTCCAGCTCATAACAGGGACCCAGATATTTCCCAGCACCACTATGATGTTCTGCATATCCCAGCAAGCCACCAAAGACATTAAAGGAAAAAAAAAAATACTGAAAGACATTTTATCAGCTTTTCTCTGCATTTTATCAGCAATTCCAGACTGTTCAAAGGACTATGATTTCTTTCCTTAAAAATAAAATCTATCCAGATCTTTACATTTTTACTTACCTAAGAGAAAGAAATCTTGATGTGGAATGGAAACTGATGCTCTAACCTAGAAGCACTAGAACTACCTTATCTTAATTCCTTACCTCTACTGTATTCCTTACCTTGCAAGAAGAAATCTACCTATTTACATTAACAATCCATCCTTAGCAAACAAGTTTATAACAGTGCATGTATTTTACCAATGCAAAAGCAAATTCCAACAGAGATTTTATTTGTGTGCAAACTCTGGAAAAAAGCACGCAAACCACAACTATGGTAGTATAAATTTCTAGCCAGCCTTAACCCTGTTTTGGAATTTAATTAAAATAATTATTCCAGAAGCTGGCATTATAAACTTTCAAATATGCATGTTTATGTCATGTGGAGAACCTCTACTGGGAGAAGAGGGAGCAATTACAATTCATTACAGAATCGCTACGTCAGGAGCTGAACAGCATGCAAGTCTACCAATATCTTCTCAAAACCAACCTCAAACTCCTGCCACTCTACCATACATAAAAAAGGGGAACTAAAAAGCAAGTGGCCAGCTGACACCAGGATGTTCAAGCTGGATACAAGGTAATGAATACAAGCTGTATAAAATCCAACCAACGCAATTGATTTAACTTTACATGTCTGCCATAACCATTCAAGTTCAAAAATTGTCTTCCACTATATTTATTTTCCACTCTCACTTAAAGAGATTAATTCTGTAAAACAATCCCTCCCTGTTGCTTGGCTTCTTGAGCTTGAATGAAAAACAAGGTCCCTGTGTGACCAAGGCCTACAGTTGCTTACTCACCTTGCTCAGAGCATAGAGATCCAGTATTTTCCTCTCCACCACAGGGATTTTTAAATTGGATCCTTGGAGTTCCCAAAATTTTGCTAACTGATCCAAGAAGTCCAGCTTCACTCTTGTCATTGCCTACAAACAATAAAGGAAGACAAACGTGTATGTCCCAAAACAAGCATGGCAATATCTTACAGTCCTGAGAAAAAACATGACAGGTTTTTATAGTGCTTACATTTTCAAAGTGCAACTTAGCAAGTGAGGTATTTCTTAATCATGTAAAAAAACCCTAGAAATAGAAACATTTATAAAAAGGAAGAGCTTCACAAAGACAAAATTGTATATGCTTTTCTCTCTGCATTTAAGATCCTATAAACCCAAACTCCTATCTAACAATTTCTTGGTTTGAAATCAAAACGCATACTCATGAAAAATCAGCAATCCAGGGAAAAACACAAGAGCAATTATTAAAATACACTTTGGAGGGAAGAGGAGGAGTTACAAACAGGTTTTATATATGCCTTAACCATACAGAAAGGGCCTCCTCCCTTGAGTATTTTTGGAGTACTCAAATCACTTTCCATAAGGAGACCCATTCACAAGCCAAATGATACATGATGTTTTGGTATATGAACAGAGCAAGGCTTTGAGACATGTTGTAGAGAAAAGGAAAAACCAGGACAGAATGGGACTCAGACTGCTTTCAAGAAAGCTCCCATGCATTTTTGAATCGTAAACTTAACCAACCCTAAGTCGCCTATAAAAACCTAATTCATCTTAAGGCTTAAAAGGCATTATCAAGGCAGTATAAGGTAACCAGAGGCTTCAGAACAGCAGGAAATATTTTTTAAAAAAATAATTCATTGCTTGTGGAGCTCTGAAGGCTAGACACTGGCTGCTCTTACTATACAACATGGTACTTGGCATTCATTTTAGACATTTCCAGTTGAATGTGAAAAACTCTCGTGGTTATTTTGGGTAATAAAATAAAAACCAGACTTTTCTCAAAGCCATGGAGAGTTATTTTATATGAACTCTACCACTGCCAAGTATAAACACTGATGTGGTCTATGAGTTTCTAAAGTCTCCCCCATCCAGAAACCTGCCAAGATGCAAATCTCAAGCAAGCAAACCTACTCCTTTCAGTGCAAACACAAAATTATATCAACGGTGGAAAAGCTCACCTCCAGTTCATTCAGACGCTGAATTCGTGGAGTGAAACGAAAACTTTGTACTTCACATGCAAATGGAGGCTGCCAGTCCTAAACAGAGACAGAAAGACATTTTATTGCCTGAAGAAATTTCTCAAAAAATGCACAAAACATTGTACTGTTGACCCTAACAATATCTGAGTAACCAAGCTCTCAACAGTAAATGAGCTTCTCAGTACAACTGGTGATATAATTTTCCAATTTTATAACATTCTCATGCTTTTAAAATAATGTTTTCCCACAATATTTTAGTTCGAAAAAAAGAGTTCCTCAGAGAATTAAAAATATTAAAAAAAAAAAAGGTTCAAAGCCTTTCAGTATGTGTTACCTTGTACTAAGTTTAAATATGAGAGATACCATGTAGCTTGTTGGTTATTTATTTACTTCAAAAAAGTCCCATATATCCTGCACATTGCAAAATTCTCACCAGCAACAGTGATAAACACTAAATAAAGCACATTGTTACGCATTTAACGCTTTTCATGTTAGTCTACAGTCATTTCCATAAAGATAAGACCACCAGTCGGGAGTCCAATTCTTCAACAGAAACAGAGCCATAAATAATGACTTTCTCAACACAGTCAGCAGTCGGTTCAACCACAAGTACCTCCTAGCCCCCACCTCTCAAAACTGTGTTACAACATCAAAACAAGTATAATTCAGCTTTTAAGTACTTTTTAAAGAAAGCTTAAGTTATAGTAGATTGCCTACCTGGCAGTAAATAAAACAGAGTAAGGACACCCCATTCCAGGTAGACAAGCCACACTAAATATTTATTATTTGCACTGCTGCAGCATATAAAAGCCTCAAGCACAATCGTAAAATATTTACAGCTTCTAATAATGGAAAAGAATAATAAATCAGTAAGGTTAGTATAAAGTGTCTGATCCAGTCCTTATTGCAGGTTGCAAATCAACCTGACGCATGCATCCTGCAAAACCCTGCAATGCAAACAGCTAAGCAATCATGGAGAAATACAAATGCGTTCAACGGCCAGGAAAGTTCTAGTTATTCTCAATGAACAGGATCTGGATCAGTTTCTTGTAGCCTCTCAACCTAAGCCATTCTGCTTATTTTAGAAAGGGCAGCCCCTTGGAGGTCAAGTTTTCACCATGTCATGAAACCAACTAAACAGATTCCAGCAACCCAGACAGGTCAGAAGGAGAGGAAGGGTCATGAAATCTAATCAGCAACCCCCATCTCCAAGTTGTTCTCAGTTACACGCTTTCTTTCCAGTTTTTTTTCATCCTCTCTCTCCGTATTTTCAACTCTCTTGTTTTATGGCTGTATTTAAAGTTTATTTGTACTTTAATTATGAAGTGATCTAACCGCCTTTTGCCGAACTGCCCGATGTTCTCGTCTAAGAAGGTTTCAGGTCACAGGGCAAGTCATCATAAAATAATGGTCAAGTCATTGGAGAGATTAGGCTTCTACCCTCTGAACTGCTACGCAGAATCATAATTCCCCTGCACAAAAAGGTTGGCAGCGCTTCTATTAACAGTTTCAAGATTACATTTATAAACAATGATCCATTAGAAAGAAATACCCTTCCTCCTCCCGTAGCAAACGCCTGATTTCACCTACAATACCTTCGCAGTTTTCACAAGCAGGCTGTTAAAGGGTTTGTTGGGTTTTGGTTTGGGTTTTTTTTTTTGAAGTAAAAAGAGCGTGAAGTCCCCGACACCGCCATGCCCTACTAGCTTCTCACCTGCTCCAAAGCAACCCCTACAAAACCCAGCTCTGAGGTCAAACAGTATATCGGTTCCGTGGCGGCCCTGGCACGGACACCGAGGCCTAGAAAAGACGACGCACGAAACCCCCGGAG